CCTCAGCATTTGGCAATTAAAAAAATTTACTTAGTATTAAATAAAAATACAGTTCTCAGCTGTGGCCCCTACCCTCATGCCCCCTTTCATTACAGCTTCAGTGGCACCATGAATGGGGAGCTGTAAAAATGAGAATACCCGCCCCCCCCCGACAGGGGAGCAGGTACCCAGCTCTGCTCTGCCTCAGCATTACATCTGCAGCTTTGCCTACTCCGGTGTTTTTTCCAGCTGCGGAAATAAAGATGTGGTGCAGTGAGGAGGATGGCATGGGCCACTGGTACCAAATACTGGTACAGCTTATTTTGTCCGTGTCCTTGGACTGCAAAACCCGAGACCCTCCCAGCACTCGGTACTGCCTGGGAAGTTGTCCTCCGTGGCAGGCAGTCAGCAGAGAGCCGTGGACACGGCGATGCTCTCTGCAGCAGCACCTGAAGTTAAATAATGTGCTCATTTTGGGAGCAGCTTTCAGCATCTGTTCTGCATAGACTGTAATGCCATGTATCCCCTTCTCGGGAGGAGGGGGATCCTGAGTTTGATTTTCAGCTGCCAAAGTGCTGAGCAATAGGATGTGCGGGGGAGACTTAACCACCTGCAGTGCCAGCTCCTGAGGTGAGGCCACCCAGAGAAACTGGGAGCTGGAGAGTGCAACCTCTTTGTGTGGTTCAAGGGTCACAATGGCTACGTTTGTGCTGTTGTTTCGTGGCAGACACTGTCACGGGAGGGTTGGGGCACTAGGCATGGCTTTTCTGGCAATCAGTTCCCTGCCTGGCATTAGTTTTTTATTCAGTGATTGCTCTCTCTGCAGGGAGAGCAAAACCCCCTGTTTCTCCTCATCCAGTCACCTCCCTCATCTACTGTCCATTTGCCTCAGGTGACTGCTGTCCTGTTCTCCCTTGACATCGAGCCTCTCCTGGATCATGCCAAGAGTCCTTCTCGTCCAGTATCCCATCATCATCAGTCATCGTAAGGGGATGCCTAGGAAAGAGGGTCTTCCCACCAGGACTCTCAGCTATCAGCTTTCTCCAGAGCTGGAAGCCATTTCTGTGTATTCAGTAACCCTCAGTGGCTTGCTTTTCCACGTACTTGTGCCTTGAATCGGCGCAAATGCTGCCATTCACAGCAGCTTTTGTAACGGAGCGTGTGCTTCAGCTTCAGCTACAGGCGTGGCCTGTGGGGCAGGAGACCTGGTGCCTGTTCCCACGTGGAGCATCCCGGGCTGGGAGAGCAGTGGATTCAAATCCCTCAAGAAAAGGCCGAAAATCCTGAGTCCTTGGCCATGCTCTGCCCCCCACCACCCCCAGCTATGACACTCGGCACTGTGCCGGCCCCACCAGCCCGGGTCAGTGTGGGCAGGGCTGGGGTACCTGCGCTTGCAAGCTGTGGCCCCTGGGCCAAAGCCTACACAGGCCCAGGTGAACAAGAGCCATTTTTCTTGTCGTGCCAACAAAAACAGGTCCCATAGGGGGCCTGCCCTGCAGCTCGGCGTGCGCTGGCAAGATTTGCCTGACGCACGGAGCACCTACAGGACCTCAGGCACCGAGGGGCTGACCTTCCTAGCTTGGCTGCTTCAAGATGGGCTCGCAAACTGCACCCGACGGGCACTCTGAGCCCCCGGGGGCCCTGCTCAGCCCAGCCTCATGTCCTCACGTGCAAAAGGAGTTTGACATCGGTTATTTCCCCCCCACCCCCTCCTGATTTTCACCCAGGTTGGTTCACCTGGAGGAGTGCGTTCCAAAGCCTGTGCTGGTGCCAGGCAGAGGACAGCTTTCCTACCCACAAGGCAAGAAGAGCAGATGGTTGTCATTGCCTTTTGAGCTCATGGGGAGCTCAAAGGCCACCAGGAGGGAGAAGGGGCCAACAGAGGAGACAGGAGAGCCGGTAGCTCTGCTACCACAGTGCAAGCAGAGGGAGGGATACATTTTTGGGATGCCTCAAGGCCATAAACACTTACCATCACTCTCCTCGGGAGAGCAGCTGATTTATTTAACTTTTTAAAAACTGATTTACTGCTGATAACCCCAACAAGCTTTAAGCCTTTGATGGTGGACGACGGTCAAATTCCCAGGAAAGAACAGAGCCTGGAAGAGATTGTCCTGTCTTGCAAAATCTAGCCTGGCTCCAAGTATATGCCAAGGCACGACCCAGAAAATACTTTCTCGTGTGCGCATGGGACAGGCACTCTGCTTGCCCTCCTGCTGGGGACAGCCCTGTCTTTCTTGCTGCATGCTGGTTCATGCTCATGGAGACTGACATACTTGGTGAGGAAAAACAAATCACGGAAGAGCAGTGTGGATACAGTCCCTGTCACGCTGGTATTTCAGCATAACCGTGCTCTGTTATTTTTAGATAAGAAAATTACAGATTTTGTTTTTACTTTTGAAGTCAGAATGAGGCATCTCTCACAAAGATAAGTGTCCAGGGCTAGTCCTGGTCTGAGGGTTATCTAGTGGTCAGATGCTAACCAGGCGTCTCCATTAGTTTGGGTCTGTACATTCCTCCCACCAGCCACCATCATTTACAAAACATAGCTCCATTAGAAGTGACTTACTTAATCTGATGGATGTTCTGCCAGCATTAGCACATGCTCACAGCATCTGAAGTCTTGGTACAAGACTAAGCCAAATAATGGAGATTCACGCTTAATGAATCTATTCAAATAGACTCTTCACAGCACTAGCACATCTGTGATAAAAGTTTACCTATAAACAACACACAGGGAAGTCAGGATTTCTGTGACACAGTCCTGACTCTTACATCCTCTTCTGGATGTTAACAACTATATGTTTTAACAACTATAAAACTGAGACAATATTTTATGCCATGTTGTTTGGAAGTATAAACTGATTAGAAGAGTTTGACTCAAATCCCAGTAAACCTGTGGATGGGATGCTGTTGTCTTGCATCAAGTTCTTACAGAATTTAGTGTGCTTAACCAGCAGGCAGAATTCACGTTTTTTTCAGACTCTGTAAGTTAACAGGACATCAACTTTTATGACATCTGTTTCTTTCAGATATTCCTTCAGGCTGTTTGGGAAATCCCAATCCTCATGCTATCTTTAAACTTTATTTGCAGTAGGAAAGTCAGTGTTTTCACTGGGGTAGCTGCCTTAAAACTCAATGAAGAATAAAAAAAACCCAAAAGAGTAGAGTTCTTTATTTTAAGATAGCATAAAACCACAGAAATACTCCATTACAAAGTCAGAAATAAGTTCACTCCCTCTAACTGCAGGAAGAAGTGGTGACCACTTAAAACTGCACGCTTGTTTAAAAGTAAATACATGTACTTTAAAAATGAAGTTTAAGAGATAAATAACCAACGGGTCCAAGCAAGCAAGTAGTTTGATTTGCTTGGAAGTACTCCTCCACTTAATGTAATGGCCCATCTGTCAAGATGCACCCTGTTGAGCATAGTTCCTACTTTTTATGTTTATGTTTTTGAATCCACTTTTACATCCCATCAGTAAAATCAAATACACTCACAGCATTTCTAGTCAAAGACAAAACATCTCAGTGGAAAACATAACACTGCAATAGGAAAACTCCAGGAGAGATGGAGGCAACCAGAAAGCTCTGCAGGTGCATGGGCTTTGCATTACCACCTGACCAGCTTTGCTGATTTTACAGGTATGAGATAAACACAGTACCAATACCACATCTAAAATATTTCTTTCTACTCTGACAAAACATGCGGAGTGTATGGCTATAAAATTCACTTTAAAATGTTTCAAACTGCATACAAATAAATATTTACATGTGCATATATACATAGTGCCAAACAGTATGCAGTACTCTCTTCTGCTTTTACCACATAAACGTCATGCAAAGAAAAGTAATTTTAAGTATTGCAGAATTATAGGGAGCTTTCTCTTGTCTTGTCAGAGCTAAGAAAAGCTGCCATTATATGGCACTAAAAGGGCCACTCGAGCTGCAGTACTGGAGGCATCAGAACCACCCCCACACACCCACGCACCCCCCCACTCAAAACCACCCCCAGGCTGCATTTCTGTGCTTGTATCTGTGAGTTCACAGACAGAATTAAAATCACTTAGCTAATTGCACTTGTAAATCAGATCCTACAGATGTCTAAGGGCCATAAACTTTGCTAACAAAGCCACTGACTCAATCTCTGGCTCTAAAGCTAAGGTAAGTTTTGGCTGTTTCTCATACATTATTAAAGGACCAATTAGGAGTCAGTGAAAAACTTGTACGATGCAAATGCTTAGTTGTCCATGTCAACCTAGACCCACACCAAGTAACGGAATTTTTATACCGAGGTACCAAAAAAACTGCAGTTCTCAGCTTTTTTGCTGCTTGCTCTCTTTAACCCCTGTGCTAATATGCAATTATTGATTGCTTAAGGTACAAACGCTGATAACCTGAAGTTGTGACATCCCTCCAGGAGGTCAACACACCACTGTGCTGAGGACGTACTGGCTTTGGCGGCCTGGGCTTCTCAGGAAGGAGAGACTTCTTAGCAATTCACCAAGGTGCAGAGATCTGAAGCTGCAGCTCAGGGGGAGCTGCCCTGGCCCACAAGGTAATAGGTGGCAAACACGCAATGAGAAACTGATGCCCCTTAGGGGGGATTTCAACAGATACACTAAACAGCAGTTCAGAAACCTAACTTGTGCTTTGCATGCTACTATCTATCACTAGATTTTAGACTTTTTTTTCTGCTTTCCCCTAACTGCATAGTTGTGGTTATGTAGTATTATTACACTAACTGAATAATAAAAAGCAATTGCAAAAATAGCAAACAAGGAAAAAAAAAATTTCCCACATCTTTCCACTTCAAAAGCATCGCTGCCAATGTTGCCTAGTAACAACAGCAGATTTCCTTACTAGCTTCTTGGTCGTAATCCTTACTTATACAAACTACCGCAAGTGGAGTCCATGTCATTCTGAAAGCTCCAGCGAATTCGGGTCTCAAGAAAAAGCCCGAGGCGAGACGCACACTGACCCAAGGGTGCCGGACGCTGCCAGCCCTGCAAGAGGCCAGGCTACGAGCGAGTGTACTGCACCGTGCTGTATTTGGTGACCCTGGAAGACTTGCTCAGCGTGGCGCTGGCAGGAGGCGGCCCCTCTAAGTTGGAGCCCGCCTGGTTAAGCAGAGAGTCTGTGATCAACACGTGCTCTTGCCTTCCCGAGCCGGCACCCGCCGCCTGTTCGGCTCTGCTCTGCATCCCCGAGGTCGTCACCGCCCTTTCGTTCACCACCACGCCGCGCCCCTCTGCCAAAGCGGGGAAGCTGAGCGAGCCCTGCTCTGCAGCGGGCACAAGCACCCTCTCCCGCTCCCTCACCACGACGTACTGGGAGTCGGGGAGATCCTCAACCGTCAGGGCTCCTGGCCCGGCGCCCTCTGACTTCATCATTCTCTCCGTAACCACCACATTGCTTCCGTGCGGCAAGTGGGGGATTTCCACCATACCCTGCAAGCTCGACGCGGGTGCCAGCACTCTCTCTGTCACCACTACGTTCTCCTTAAACTGGGGGTCTAGAAAGACAGTGGCTGAGCAGACAGGAGCCCCCGCAGAGTAGGATGTTTCCGTCACCGTGAAATTGGTCTCCGTGTGGGCCGTGGGAAGCGGCCGGGCGTCGTGCTGCCCAGAGCGGGTTGCAAAGGTTGTTTCCGTGACCACCTCCTCGGACACGGTCTCTTCTCCTGCGCCACTGCCCATGTGTGCCGGGGGGCCAGGCTGGAAGCGGCTGCCCGAGGCAAAGGCTTGTTCCGAGCTGGAAGCGTTTTGCTGATCTAAGAACCACGACTTTGCGTCATTAAGACCAAAACCTGATTCATTCCTGGAGCTACTGTCTTTCATGTTGATGTGTCTACCTATGCATATTTCTGCTAGAGTCTTAAATTTGTCTCCCAAATCATCAAGGAAGTGGTCATCAAGATCACCCTCAATAAAGCTGCAGCAGCCGACGGAGCCATGGGGGGAGCCTGACTCTCCTTGGGAATAAACTAGGAGACAGTCATTTGCAGCTTGGGCTTCATCTTCATCCGCAAAAGAGACAGCTTTCTACAGAGAGAAAACAAAAGCCAGCAAAAGTTCATTGATGTCAGCTCTAAACTTAATAAATCTGAAAATCAGGAATGCTTCATCAAAAAGGTTAAAATAAGAAAATTTAACTGAACCCACAGAAACCGTCAACCAACCAAGGGCAGTAGCTAAAAGTGCTTTTTGCTTTTTTGAAGTTAGTCTAATTTGACAGTACACTTGATGAGAAGAAAAATCTAAAATTAGATTGAAAACCTTGGGTACTATCACCACCTGCTGCTGTTCCTACCAGGAACTGTGCCATTTGTGATACTGCTCCACCCTCACAAACATATTGCCTTTATTTTGGTTAAGTGAATGAACTTCACCTGTAACTAGGTGTTTGTGGGAGAGTGCCAAAACTATGCCTAACATTTAAACATATGTTTAATGAGTACATGCTGACATGTCATCACCTGCCATGGCCCTTTTCACTAGCATAGCCTGCAGGATCACACCCAAGGAGCCCAACAGCAAACAAATCACAAAGTTAAATGGCTTGATAAGTATGGGAACATAGTCCAGCATATAAATTTTTAGGCTCTATGCAGGCCACTTTGCAACAAGGAGGGCTCATGGGTTCTGACTATAGCGATTCCAGGGCCAGCTCAGTCTGAAAGCAGTGTCTGCAATGGAGCTGCTGCCAGTGCTAGCACAAATATCCGTGTACATGCTTGCACCAGCTCCAGTTTCATGAGTGAAGACAGACAAATCCTCTGGGCCAAAAAAAAACTTTACCTAATACGGTTGCTGGCTTGTACTCAGAACCACTTTTCTACCACATTTGAAGTTCTGGAGTGCATATTAGCTCAGGCATCTGTTTAATGTGGTATATATCCAGACCCAAATTGACTCTGTATGTTTATCTGCGCTTGATCCTGGAAGTAGGCACATTACCTGAGGTGCTTCTACAAAAATCAGCACACATCTGAAACTATTTGATTTGGTAACTTGTCTGATGTTTGGTTTTTTTTTTTTTCCTTTCCTGTAATCTGAGATATTTTAGCCTCCCAGAAGTTGTAAACGTTACTCCAGTATGACCTTTACGAAGCCCTCCTGCAGGACTTCAGCAGGCAGCTATGCTTAAAGTATGTCTTAATATTAGGAAGCGCAAAGAGCGGAAGGAAAGCAGAATTGCTACTGTTGCATCTGTTCACCCAGAAGACCAGTAGCTAGAGCACTCAGGAGACATACAAGTGTCTTAAGCTCAAATCCTGCCCTGGCCTGAGGTGGTGACTCAACGCTGCACAGCTGCTCCTCTGCAGAACCCCACCATCAGCCAGCTGTAGGGTGTGAAGATGTTTTATTTGTACAGGTGATGGAAAATCCGTACACTCCCTGGCATACGGAAGTGAAACTTCCACTATAAGGAGCTCACCAGCCTAAGGACTAATGATGTGCATCATGCAAAGAGGAATAGCTGCAATGAGTAGGAATAGCCTACTGGTCAATGGTTAGGTCATCAAAAAACAAAAGTCAGAAATGGGGATTGCAACATGTGCCTCATACACTTCTGATGAACGGCCCTTTACCCAGGCTGTTGGGCAAAGAGACAAGTCCAGCACCACTTACTTCATCAGCTACTTTGAAAATGCAGACCCACCCTCTACTGTTTGACATCTATGGCTTATCTTTCAAAAACCTGCTCCATTATAAAGTTTGTAGCTGTGACTCATGATGAGTCATAGGTACCTCCCTACAGGCCACTTTAATGTGCTTAAGTCCCTGAGATTTATATCACGTAGTCTTTCTCATGGCTTCTCCCCGGGCAAGGGGTTCCTTGGTCATTGCTGAATATTCTGGATCCCATTCCCAAGTACCTCCCTTGAGAGAAGGGTCTCGTTGTGGGAGACCTCGTAAGCACCCAGTACTACACGACTGAGCATTGTCATGCTCTAAGTCCCACATGTGAGCCTAATACAAAAATCCTTAATGCCCCCAACTCCACATGCACACAACATGTGTGTTGTATCAGGGCTGTTTATATACACATATCTACTCATCTGTGTTTGTAATAACATGAACAGCATTTCACAACGCTAAGTGTAAATATAAAAATACTGTTATTCGCGGGTCATATGCTTACGTCATTGAAGTAGTCTCTTAAAAATTCTTCATTCATGGCTCCTGCTGCTCCCACCGTGATTCCTCCTGCACCCACCACTGTCTTGCCTTCTACACCTGCCATGCCTTCAGCCCCTCCAGCTGCCATGGCTCCATATTCAGCACCAGAAAGGAGATGTCTTTGCTCTTCCCATCTTTCCTTGGTAATAGTAGTGTTGTGATGCTCTCTTACATGAGAGACAGAGCTGCCTCCTCCTGCTGCAGTTTCCTCTCCGCTCATTCCTATGCTGCTCCGCTGGTCGCTCCTCTCGAGTTCCCCAGTGCAGTGGGTGGGATGAGGCTTAGCACTGGCTACATAAATAACACAAATTAGGATGTGACATGAAAGCCGCGCTGTCTCGCACATGGAACTCACCAAACCAGCAGCGGGGCTGGGTGGGACCTGGGAGGGTGCCGTCTTATGACTTGTTTGAATTCGCACTTGTACATGTTGCTGCAAAGAGTAAAGGGCCTCCTGAAATAGGGTGCAGCTTCCACAACCGTGGAGGATCATGGAAATGTTTCTGTAGTTCATTGTTTTCTTGAAACTCAAAGGGTTGGAAGTTAAAGTGGGGGAAAAAAAAAACCCACCAAAAAAAGGCTTGGAAAACTCCAGGGAGGTCAGCTGTTCCACGACAGACTCTGCCCAGCCTTCCCCAGACACAAAGTGGGGGAGCATGCACTGCCTGCTGCCTCTGTGGTACTGGCCTGGCCCCTTCTTCTTTTCTAGCAGTTTGGCTTCCCTGTTAATTGTCTTTTATCAAGAATTCGGTGTGAGCATTGGCCCTACATCAAAGTCTTTTACCTTACTTCTGTTTGTTGTTGTGCAGAAGCATGCCAGTGTCATGCCCTTTTTTTTTTTTGAAAACTGGGTTTTATAGCATAACAAGAAAGGGAAAACTTCTCTTGGCATTCACTGTTCCCTCTGCAGATTTGCACCTTTTAAAATGCAACCTGAAACTTTAAACTAGAAGCTAAGCTTTATAACCCATTCTTTTCCTGCTTTACCATGCTCCCAAAGGGCCGCAGAACATTCCAGGCTTGCAAATGCAAATGCTTCAATCTTTACAGCACCAGTGCTTTTCCCACACTCCTATCACCTGCTCGGATACCATCAACATTTGCTTGATTGCTTCTCTTTTACTTGGGATTTAAACACCACGGCTGATGCTTCTAGAGCTGCTGGTGGAAGTCATCTTCCAGATATCCTTCACTGAGCCTCACAGGGTTAATTTTAATTAATGTTCATGTGCGGTTAAAATCTGCTGTACAGCCCTGAAACATCAGCCCATAATGTGGAAGAGATGCCAAGTGCCAAACTGAACACTTGGACAGAAATCAAAGAGAAATGCTATTAGGGATACATGCCTTCTCCTCGGGAGCTGCCCCTTCGCTGTTCCACTGACGCAACATCGCTTCGCTGTAGTCCGGTATCGCAGCAAATCCTTTCGCTCCTGAGCCGCAGGGACACAGCAGCAGTAACAGTGGAATAACTATGGGGAAATAGAAATTTGCCATTAACTATTTGATGATTAGGGTCAAAGCATGCTAACAGCCAGTACCGAAGTTTGGCCAGCTCTCATACTGAAATGTATCTTTAGTAAGCTAGCTATCAGTATGAGGGCTGATAAAAGACTGAAGACACGTTCCCAAATATTCAAGGTATTTCCTAGAAACATATGCCAGGATAGCTTCCTGGAGAGTGAACTGGCAACCTGTCAGGGCCTCAACCCTGCAGATGACCGCGCATGCATATAGCTATATTTCTATCGAAGATCTCATATACCAAAACCAAGGCCTAAATATCACTGTACAACGTCAGCATTTCTAACTCCTGTTCTTTTACTACTAGGTAACGACATGGCGTCACGTAAATTCCACCTCACCACTGCTGTGACACGTCTAGAGCATTGCCTGGGGAACTCAAAACAATCCAGTTTCAGGAGCAGAGCGTATTCGTGTGGCATGAACTTTGTTTTGCCACAGCTATATTGCTACTAGTACAAGCAATAAACTATTGCTGTTTTAAATGCAGCACTGGTACACATGGCAATACCCTGACTACAAGCATTCTTCTCTTATTTTTGAGCTGTTACTTTGTCTTCCCAAAGAACAACATCATGTGCTGCTCAGAGCAAGGCACCAGACCCGAGTCTGCAGTGAAGGAGAAGAGAGTGGAGAGAGCACTGTGGTTTGAGTGGGAAGAGTCAGGGTTCACACGGGGAGGTGCGGGAAACACCAAAACGATTCCTTACTGCTTCCCCACCTGTTATTTACAGCGCCATAAACAAATATTAAAGTTGTACACACTAATTTTAAAATGCACAGCCTGAAATCCTTTGAGGGTGAAATGCTGATGTTACCAAAATTAGTTGGGCATTTGCCATGACTTCACACAGACTAGGAGTTTACACAGAGTATATCAAGATGATAAAACCTGTGAGCCAGACTGTTTCTTTCCTGATGCCTTGCAGACCATATTTACAGTGCTTCTGAGATAATATGAAACAATTACTTACGCAGCAAAAGTAAAAACGCCAAGACGATTAGTGCAACCGCTCCTGGTCCCAGGCCCACTGACTTAGCGCCAATAACTTTCTCTTTGCATACGCCGTCGTCCGCACACTTACAAACAGTCAGTTGCAGAGACTGCGCTTGAGCACAGCTGAACCCTTGGAAATCCTGTATTAGGATGGGAACTTCAGTTCTGCCCGGCTTCAGGTTTTGTGGTACCAGCTGTATGCTGGTGCCTGAGGCAGAAAGGGGGGTTAAAGAAAAAGAAAAGACAAACAAGAAATGAGTGGAGAGAAAGTTGACTCCTGTAAACTAAGGGAAACAAAACCTTCATAGCCCCCTAACAAGCCCCCTCCAGTTAAGTTCAGCCAATGCAATGGAATTAAGTTTAATTAGCTGCTGCTACAGCGTATGTGCTCTTATTTTTATCAAATAATTCATGCTGGTAACAAAGCAGCCATGCTCACTTGCAGTCTCAGGTAACTGCGAAGAGTTTCACACCAGCAGAGACTTATTATGGAAGACAGCCCAACTGCTTATATAGTGTTAACCTTCACGTCATCTGGATAGCCAAAGGCTGAATTCACAAAAAAACCAGCTTCAATCTTTAGGAGATTAACCTGTTGTAGGCCACAGGCAGAGACCAGGGAGCCAGCATGCCACCTGCTCCTGTGGCGTGTCACATCAGGGACACAACTAGGGAAGAGATGCCCAGATAATGTTCCCAGCTGCAGAACACCACCCTATCTGGAAAAGCTGTGACCCCTACAATTACTGCTAGTCTGGCTGCAAGTGGGGTGAGGAAAAGTAGTAAGATTCCTTCTTGGTCCTAAACCTGGCCATAGGATGACTCTGCTGATTGCTTTGCTATGTTATGCTGTAGGATTAAGGAGGACAGAATAACGAGTCTGGGAAGAAAAAGTGTTTTCTGGTGCCTTCAATCTACCCGAAGCATTTCCTTCAAGCATTTCCTAGGCTTATATGAATGGAAGTGTAAGAAGAACATGTTCATCTCATTTTGAAATACCCATTATTTACGATTTATGACTTATTTTGTTCCTACTGTGCTAGACAATCTTAGATTACATTGTATTTCCCCTTTTCAAGGCCCACTATGCAGACAGATTTATTTGTTTATACGTTAGAGCAACTGCAGCTATTAACACAACCATATCTCCAAGCTCAATTTTAACAAAAAGCATCCTTGATCACTGCATGCTTTTTGTGGGAAGATGGGAATGGCTTGATGCCAGCACTACCCATGACATCCTGGTCACCACACATGGGTCATCAAGCTAGGCAAAGATGGTCCAACTGAGGGAAGGCGACAAACCCCAGAAGACATGACTTGCTTTTATAGCCATTAGAGAGAAGGGAGCAGAACGCGAGTGATGTGTCTTCATGCCTGACTCCATATATTTTTTGGTCTGGATCAGCCAAACTGTCAGTTTGACTGGAATTAACAAATTACAACACTAGGACTCCAAAGAACTGGAAGTAATTAAAAATATATTTTCTTACCATTTCTGGATGCAATTATCCATTTTTTTGCTGTCCCTTCTGGCTTATCAATGACAGTAAAGCTGAAGGGATCACTGTTTGGGTAACCATCCAAATCATTAGCTGTAACATCAACTAATTTTGCATCTGAACACACAGTCTGCACAGGGTTCACAATAACTGGGCAGTTATCATTCTCATCTTTAACTTGAATAATGACTGTGCCGGTGGCTGTTTTCTTAGGAAAATCTAAGATTTTAAAATATGAAAAATTAAATTGATTTGAAAAGTGCAAAAATTTCATCTTAAAATAGTTTTTCTAAAACACAAACATTTCTGAAATAAGTTGAAAGAGCTCTCTCCCTGGAGATTATGGGAGCAATATTTCATTCCTAATGTTTAATAAACATATTGACAAAGTTCTTCTGAAGGCAAGTTGTTTTACTATTTTGACTTAAAACCCCTCCCACGTACTTCCTGTGTATGGTTACACAATAACATGCTGATTATAATAAAATTTTAATTAGATATGCAAGAAGTTCAGGCAGTCTTTCTTGTTTAGCATTCAAGAAAACTCAGGACTCTGAAGTCCGTTGATTAGCATACTGAGAAACTGGCAATTTCCACCTTGACAAGGGATGTTCCTACCAGACTTGGTCTTTGCAAAACTTTTATAAAAAGTTCACCTCCATCTAGTCAAAGAAGAGAAACGGGCACCTCAGGAATCCATTCCAAGGTTCACCCTAGTTCAATGAGTTGCCCTCTCTCCTCCAAGAGAGCCTATGGGAAACTGCACCTAACTTTTAGGCAGTTAAACATAGGGAGGTTAAACCAACTATAGTTATAGAAAGGCAAACTAAACCCTGAACAAACCAATTAGTGTGAAAACAAAACCCTCTCAACTTACCAGTAGTTACACCCAATACGGTGATAGTGTAGGTACCATTTACTACATGAGATGATTCGTAATCCAGTTCTTTGGCAAGTTGGATTTCACCTGTGACTGAGTCTATTGTGATCCAGTTTGCTGTATCTCTTCCTTTCATGTATCTGATTCAAATTGCATATAAGATATAATGAGGAAAACAACCATCAGCGGAAAAAGCGGCTTGACATTATGTTTACTCTTCGTTTAAAGCAGAGACCAAATCCCTAGGTCTGAGGTCTGACGCTCCTGCCACTGGAATTGGTTTCAACTATGAACCTAAGATTGTAAACCTACCCTGAATGTTGAAACCTGCTTTTCCCTCTAGAGCCAGGATTTCGTTGTGGAGGCATTATAAAAAGTAGATGCAGGGAGCGAGACCGGAGCAGGAGAGGGAGCTGCGCTGCTGGTCATCGTCCTCTTCCCCTCCACCCCTGCTCCCAGCAAAAGCTGAGCAGCAGCCACCCGGGAGAGACTCTGTTGCAGGCGGGGGGGAGAGGGGTCCACCGCTGGGTATGCACCTCTGCTGGTCTGCACCATTTGTAAAAGCCATGGTGGTGGATCAACACCATTTTAGCTGAAGAGCTATGATTCAAAATCCAAACACACACACGCAGGCTTATTTACTTTACACCCTTTCTGTCCAATTGCTACATGTTTCTCTATATTTTCTTACTAATGTTTCTGCAGACGATGAAGTCAGGCAAGTAAATCCACTCCCAAAAGTACACAGGCATGACAAACAGTGTGCAAGCACGGACAATTTCAGCACATACATTCATGTCTCACCATGTACGACCAAACAAGTCGGATTTTCAAGTCAGCTATTTTCTGCATAATAGAATATTGAAGATGATGATGTTGTTTCAGGTATGAATTATGCGTAGGAGAAAATGATTGCCTCTGAAATTATTTCAGTTCAATATACACATTTTTACAGTAAGATGCAATTTCTGACATACTCAGTTATGATGGTTATAAAAAGATTCTTACGTAATGCGCTCTGCTATTTTTCCAGTGTCTTCATCATAGGCTTGATACTGTCCAATAACCTGTCTTATCTGCAGTTTCTCACTTGCTTCAATAATTTTTGTGCCACCGGGGAATACAAGGCCTTCCCGCACATTAATCACATTAATTTTGATTGGGATTGTTTGTGCTTTATAACTGTGTTTAATTGACTTGTGGAACTCTGCTTTGTTTGTAACAACAATGCCCAAGTTTAGGCTTTGCATTTTTTCATAATCCAGTTCCTAGAGCAATTAAAAAAAAAAAAAAATCACTCAGAATTTCCCAGAATCTGGTATCTAGACAACATTCATACATTTAATATTTAAATAATACTATTTAAATAATACTGTAGCATCCTTATTTAAATAATAAGGATGCTACAGTGCAAAGAAGAACTGTTGGTTAACGTGTTACTCTCAATACATAATGCTTCAACTCTTTAAAAGTACATAAGGAAGATTACTCTTCTTATTTTTAATGGATGGCATCATAGGTATGTCTTTATATTATTGAATTTAAACTAATTTAAGGTAGATGCAATGAGTCCTACCTATATATTCTGTCTTTATTTTCAGTGAATCACTGCTCACTATTACTTGGCTCTTCCAATTTTTTTTTTTAAAAACCAATTCATTTACTTAATAATGCTTATCAATTTTTTTAAATTATCAGTTTTCAGATAAGGAAACCAGAGCAGAAAAAAGAAAAGAAAAAAGTACTTAGGGCACTACGCATCTTCAGTTCTTGTGGACTGAAGGGGAGTGAAATTCATAAAACAGAAATTTCAATTTATGGAAAATATTTTCATAATTTCAATGTATGGAAATTCATAAAATAGTCTGTAGCCCATGGCTCATGGAGTAGGTGTTGTCTGCAACGTTATCTATGGCCATGCGGAATAAAGAAATTTAAACTGAGACCAGCAAGGAGAGCAAAAATATGGGAAAGTTCACAGCGTACATGTTCGCACTGTTGCCCAACAACAAGGAAAGTTTGGGGACTCCTGCCCCACTAGATATATTTGAGATCACACAGAATGTAAATGGTAAACCTGGACAAAATTATTATTTTGCACGGAATTACTGAATAGACCAACAAAGAATATGCCAAAGGAGGACTGTCCGCCATGTAAATTTACAGTTTACATACTGACGGAATATAAATAATTTTAATGTCAACTTAAAGGGAATAAATTATTCTAATATTTAAAGAAGACTCTCTAAAGAATATACTAACCTTCACAAGTGTCAAAATTCCTTCATTTGTTTGGTTATCTGTTACTATATGAAAAAAGCCACCTTCATTACCAGAAATAAATGAAAAGTTTGCCAGCCAGTTATCAGAAAACTCTTCATCTTTGTCAAATACTTTTATTCGCAGAATTTCCACATTTGCTCTGTTTTCTTCAACGCTTCCTTCAAACTGCAATTGAAAAACACCCTTCTTTAAGAAGATGTCATGATTTAGCTCATGTAAGCAGTGCAAGAAAGTGTTAATACCAGTGCAACCTCGTATTAAGCAATGGGATACTGGCAGGTGTAGGAACATGCCAAATATTGTGATAAATGTACTTACTGCACGACTCTCAACCACAGGCAGATTGTCATTGACATCCAAAATCTTGATTTCTAAAGAACATGTTGCAGCATTCCCACCTAATTCACCACCACGGTCTTTTGCTTCCACCATCAAAGAATAGCTACTTTGTGTCTGCCACGATAAGAAAAACGTGTTTAAACCAGGCCAAAAATTCTTCCGTTGCTGTATTATCTCTATTAAATTTTGGTAATCCCTCCTGTGGCCAATTACAACTCCTCTTCTCTCTAGCTAGTAGTAAATCTCACACACAACTACCTTGACAGGCTCTGCTGGAGTGGAACTGAGGCTTCGAAAAGGATTTGGGACTTTTGCATCTCCCCCACAAAGAGTTAGACTGTACCTACATGGCAAATGAAAAAATTTCAGTGGCCACAAACAGGGACAGGACCAGTGATACCTGCATGTCAGGACAGGGCTAGAGGCAGAGGTGTTGCTTTCAGCCGCAGAGCTAACATCCAGATCACCATCTGCTGGTCAGTGAAAATTCATGCAAGCACAAATAAAGCTGCTGGTAGTATGTGGCTTTCAATGCTGTTTCATAGCAGCACCCATCCTAACCCACCCTTGGACCGTGATTTGCATAGCAGGCTACAAAAATCTAAATGCAGTCAGCAGCTTTGCAGATGGTGATCTGGGTTGTCTTCGCCACATGCTCTCCAGCACGGAGAAATGACCCCTTGCTTCACGTAACTGCTGCCCTGGCTGCACGGGAGGGACAGAACGCAACAGCCATCGGGTAGTGCTGTGCTGGAGAGGTGACGGGGGAATACCACCTTGATCCCGTCACCACCGCCTCCCCACCCAGTCCCTGAAAAACATGCATCAGCCAGACAAGGCTTTAATCCTAAGGGAGGTGAAGGAAGGTAAGAGGGCCAGCTCTCCGACCCGGCAGGCGGAGCTGAAGGTGACACCACAGGCATCAGAAGACTGCCGTTAACAGATTAAAAACGGGAGGGTTTTTACCTCTCTGTCAAGGTTTATTTTTGCTACTCGAACCTCGCCAGTATCCTTATCCATACTGAAAGCAGCGCCAGGGCTTTGGGAAATGATCCTGAAAGCAATTTTGGAATTTAGGTTATTTGGTTCATCTGCATCTGTTGCATTTATCCTCATTACAATTGTACCTAGAAAAAACCAAACAAAATACAGTATGTTTACACTACCATGCACTGCCAAGTATTTTTACTGTAATGTCACAGATTAAGAGACCGTTGTCAGATGCACTGCACAATTTTCTGATGCTCTTGCCTTTATTTATTTAACGAATAGAGCTGAAGAAGAGTTCCTAAGATAATACATGTTAACAGTATATCCTCTAGCAAACAAAACGATTGTATCCACACATGTGTAACTCACAGAATTCAATGCACCAGAATCACAGAACAGGTTAAATTCTCTCAAAAATTCTGACAGAAAACTGTAGATATCATACAGAGAAGAAAGAAAAAGTTTTTGAACAACAAGCTGCCATTTCCCTCACACATTATTCTAAAGGGAGCACTATTAACTCCTCTACCTGAACGTTACCAAAACAATTGCTCTGTATTTATGCCCTCCAACAGCTTCACTCAAAACACATAGTGGTCCCCGTGGTGCAATCCCCTTATACCTCATGGCACAGGATTTTGTGCTCTGGGAAAGGCTGTACCTCAGCACCCAGTGCCTGAGTTTGAACATTAGCTGGAATTCAGGCAAAGAAGCAATTACCATATGGCTGCTACCGACCTGAAAGACAGCTGAGGGAACTCAATACCTCACCCAAGTGGATGTTCAATAATATGTTTCTTCAGATTATCGTGTCATTGAAAGGGACACAATGTCAGCTATTTATTAAGTTGTTTTACTCCAGCTTTTCTTATCGTCTGGGAAATAATCTGTTGCTCTTATGTTTACTGACACCAACAGGAAAACTGCCACTAACTTGTTCTTTGAGGGTTAGGTCACGGCCGTATGCGCTTAACAGTGAAGTACGTCTCCAGCCCATCGATAAAGCAGGGCTCTTCATGAGCATGGCAGAGTGGAGTCTCTGCCAAACAGGCTGGGATTGCTCGGCCAGAAGGTAGACTGCATTTCCCCTGCAACTCCTGCTGAAAAAAATGTTAGCTTTGACACCAAACCAAAGATGCCGTAAGAGGAAGTATTGTTCTCTGTTGCCTTTATGTGGACGCTTTCCCATCATCACACCACAGCTTAGCCCTGAATAAAAACTTGCATTCACACGTGGATAACCTGGCCTACACAAGCAAGAGAATGCAACCTTGTTACGGCAGATATGCTGCTGCAGAGTACATTCACTTGTGCCCTTGCATGTGTTGGGAAAAGCTAAATGAAAAAATTTTTAAAATAATGTTACCTGTTTCGCTTAATTCTTCAACTGAACCAACAAAAACTTCGTGTGAAAACACTGGAAAATTGTCATTTATATCCACGATTTTAATTGGGAGGTCTATTGGCTCTTCCAGTTTTGCTCCAGTCTTATCTAGCGCGTGACCTCTGAGCTGAAGTTACACAGACAGAAACAATAAGCAAATACAATGAGTGACTGTAATATATATAAATATATATGCAAAATACAAATATATAGAAATATAT